CTTTTAATAGATCTGTTTTTTCTTTTTTTTTTTGTTATTATTGCTTTGTCTCCATATTTGGAGTTCTTTTGTCCCTTCTTCCGTGAGGGTTTAGTTTATTCTTTGTAAAGGTTTATTCTTAAAAAATATGATATTTTTGCTGATGTTTATCTTCGATCAATGGAATTTGATAGTGCGGCTTGTTCCTCCATTGATACTATTAATACATAGTGCTTGAACTCATCCGTGTACGTCATACGCAACAAATTTTTGAAAAAGCAATCCAAGCATAGAAGATCCAGAGAAGTTATTTTGTCGTCCAAATTAATTAAAGGACCAGTTGCTACTATAAAAATTTATATCAGTCAAGATCATCTTTAAGCGAAAAAAATCTAATATTATTTATTTTAGTTTTAATTTTATTATTTAAAAGAATATAGATAATTCTTTTATTAATAAATTATATTTCTCAAAAAAAAACAACACTGATGACTTTATAAAATTCAACGAGAAACAAATGAAAGAATAAAATTACTTATTAAATAGCAAATACATTTGAAGTAAGATTAACTAAAAAAAAGTAAATAATTAAGAATTATTATTGAAAATAAAATAAAACTTAATAAAAATATAATAAATAATTTAAAACTTAATTATAATTTAAAAAAATAGATTTTTGAGACAGAATGAACATTCGATAAATAAATTTGAGCTGGAATCAGGTTTCAATACTAATCACATGGAGTTATTATAAGTTATAACTTCTTTAAGGCCACTTGTCAATAGCTGGGCATTGAAATGTGCACCACTTTGCTTAGGCAAGTTGCTTTTCTAACTATGGAGTTGTAATAGGAAGTTGTTGTTAGCTGTTTAAGGTGGTTTTTTTGGTAAATTTAATAATCAAGTAAATTGGAGGTGACAAAGCAATGACTCATGGACTCCTTTTTGGATATATCCTACCATTTTGTTCCTCAAAATACTGAAAATTGAAAGTTGAATGTAAGAGCATGTACCGTATTAACGCATATTGCTATTATTTAATTGTCATATTAAACGTAAAGAATTGTTTTAAAAAATATTATTTAATGCCTATTTGGGATCTTAAATTGAGGTGTCAAAAAAATAGATAGACATTATCTTTTACTCTCTCTTTTTTAAAAAATCTCTTAGACAATTTGAATATTTATTGCTCTATAGTTACTAGTTGTATATTGACTTGTTTGCCCAAAAATAAAAGAAAAAAAGAGAATAGAGGAAAATTCAAAACTAATGCATTGCTAAGGGATTTTTAAAATATAATGTCTATAAATAAAATATTTAACCACATCACCATTCACATTTTCAATTTAATACGACACATTGATATTGGATATTTTCTAAGACCAATATTAAACTACTTCAACTTTCTTGGTACATGAAACGAGACTGTGAAAATCCATTTTCTCGTGACATCTCAAATTTAAATTCTAAATATGGAATTTAAAAAGACATTTTAAATTTTTTTAAAATTCTTTTTAAATCTTAAATCAAACCTACTGTGAATCTGGATTAATCGAGCTAAGACTTTGGTTATCGAATGATCTAAAAATTAAAAATATTAAATAATTGGATTATACTTGACAATTAACACTTCATCGTAGAATAATATAATAAAATTAAATATTATTTTAATTATTCATTTTCCACGAATATATATATATATATCAGAATTTCTCATTTTATAGAATTCTTATTGAATTTAAATATATTTTACCATTTGAAGCGTTATTAAATTATATTCATATAATAGAAAATATTCAATGAAAAATAACATGATTGGATGTATTTTTAATTCAAAATCTTAATTTTATAATAAAACTTTAAAATTATGGAGCAATCATTAAGGTATTTTCAGATTAGTTCCAATAAAAATTATTACAATAAAAACTCTTAAAATAAAGTTGAACGAATTTTTATTTTGGAAAATGTAATTACTAGCTTACTCAAATTTCAAAATTTGGAAAATATTTTCCTCCACTTGACGTATTTATTCTTCGTACACCAAACTAACAGTTAATTAAAAAAAACTATCATTTTTAATATTATTTTATCAGTTTTTTTTTTCCAATGAAAATACTGAGTTTTTATTTATACTAATTGTTTTTACTAAATATATTTGATGTATACACTGAGTGATTTTGTTAAATATTTTCAAATTCTAACTAATTTAATAAATTGAAACTGATTTGAACTGAAATTTAAAATAAAATGAACTGTAAGTGGCGATTAAGGATTTAAACCAAAATCAGAATCAAATCAAACCTATTGATTTCGGTTTCCAGGTTTCAGGGCCACCTGTTGCGTCTTGCCACCATCCTGCATTTGTTGTTGCCACTGTCGTAGTGTCGTTGTTTTACATATTTCGGCCTCATCATTTTAAATTGGGCCTCTTTAATACTATTCTTGGACTTAACAAGCTTGTTTCTAATTTGAGTTTCTATAAGTACAAGCCGTTCCTAATTGACAATATAAGCCCGTTAGAGTACAAGCTGTGATACTCCAATTGCAAGTCATTTTTATTATTTTAAGAAGCAATAAATATATTTTTTTAATTTTATCCTTATTTATATTTTATTTTTAATACTATAATTAAGGATGAAAGTGGGCAGATATCAACAAATTTTAAGTTATCTATATCTGTATCCATTTAAAATTTTATTATTAGTATTAATTCCAAATACGTTTAAATATTCATTTTAGTACTCTATCCAAACTCGTTTAAATTTTCACTATTTGTATCCATTCAAAGCCCGTTAAAGTACCCTTATACGTAGGGTTGGCCAAATTACGGTTCCCAAAATCAGAATCATTGGTTTCGAATTGGAATCGGTTTGAATCGGAAATGGAACCGGTGGCCTACGGTTCGATTCCAATTGCACCATTTTTTGAACCGTGAATCGGCGGTTCCAAGAACTGGTTAGAGAACTGGTCAGTTCCAAAATGTTCTCTACTTTTTTATTTTATAGTTATGCGATTCGCCGAAAAATCGATCAAGAACTAGTCGGAGAACCGGCTGGAACAGTCGGTTTTGGAACCTTTAAGTAGCCGGAACTGAAACCGTCAATTTTCGGTTCGGTTCCAATTCCAAAAAATTTGGAACCGAAACCATGGCCATATCTACTTATATGGTATGCACTCACAAATGTAAACTATCCAAATTCGAACTTATTTTCAACGCAATTTTTACTAATAATGGATAATATAGTTATGGATACTCATTGCCAAACCCATTTAATGTAGCAGACACCCAAAGACATATACAAATGCATGTATCCATTGCGGGTAATAATTTCACTATTCATACCTATTCCAAACCATATTCATAACTATCTATATTCTCTTTTAAACGGTTCAGAGGGAGCGAGTACCTTAAAGTACTCATACCACTTCATCCCTAACAATAATCATCTTTACAAATTATCTTGATTTTGATATAAGGGGTAATTTGAAATTATCCTTGATTTTGTTATAATGTAGAGAAATTCATTATTTTCTTAATTTCTGTGCAAGAACTTTAAACGACTTATATTTTGAGACGAATAAAGAATTATATTAATCAATAAGGGTATTTTAGAGATTATTTTTTATTCTCTCTCATTTAGATCAACCTTTTTCATAAGAGTAATGGTAAAAGGCAACTTATTCGATAATAACCTTTTAATTGGTTTCGGGAAATAGGGGAAATGAGATAATAAATAGGATTATGACTCAATTTGCCCTTTCAATTTGGCACGATATACAATTTGTTCAAATAGTAAAATTTTGTGCAATTTATCATTGAACTTGCACTAAAAGTACAAGATACCTAATTTTATTTCAAAAATAAATTATTTGATATAAATCATATATGATCAAGAAGTAATCAAATATATAATCTAAATCAATTATAATCAAAAAAATAATAAAAAAAGTATTAAATATTTTTCTAACCAAATATTTCAATATAATCAAATCTTTTTCTAATTCTATAATTATTTTTAAATCGAATACTTATCAAATTATTTTTAAATCAAATACAGTAAATCTTTATAATTGTTATTATATTTTTAAATAATTTCATTTTCTAATTTTAAATTTTTAAAGTAATTTTTATTAGTTAAAACTATAGAAAAATTTTTTCTCAAAAAAAATCTAGACATTTTGTCCTTTGGATGCATGTTCAAGGAGCAAATTGTACATAAAAAGTTAAATTTTGGTCAAATTATATATTGTGCCCAAGCTGAAGTGTGTGCCTAAATTGAAGTAGCAAATTAAGCATTATTCATAATAAGTATATAAAAAAAAAGATTAAATATTTTTAAAAAATTAATTAAAAGGAAAAAGAATAAATAGCAATTATAACAATCTATATTTATAACTCATAGTAAGTATAACAAAAAAAAAAAAAGGATTAAATATTTTAACAAATTAATTAAAATGAAAAAATAGCAATTATAATAATCTATATCTATAACATATATAAGTACGATAGTGAAGCGGAGTAATAGGTTTGTCAAAATTATCTGATATTAAAAATAGCAAAAATTATTCTTAATTATGAAGGATTGAAGAGTTTTAATAAAATAATAAAGAAATTTAAGTATTTTATTTTCTATACTTTTTTTTACAAATTGTTTGGGTGCAATTTTTAGAAAATTTAATTTTTAAATAAATATATAAAATAATTAAGAATTTAAAAATTTTTTAGAATATTTTATTTCACAAATTTAGTTTTTTTAATACGTATGATTTTTTATTTTTATAATTGAATTTATTCTTTTTAAAATTAATATTTTGAGTTTTAAAATTTAATCATATTAATTATAGATCATCAAATATTGATATTGATATTATTAATCAACACATAAGATATAAATTTATGTTAATATTATAAAAATAAATATATGCAACATAAAAAATCAATACTTAATATTATTAACAAAAAAAAGTACAAAAAATGAGTAATAAGGAATTAAAAAAAAAAAAAAAAGAGTAATAAGGAACAAGCAGGCGGAAAAACGAAAAGATGATCAGATTATCTTTTAGCAAAGGAAGATCAAAACTACAAATTGAGACTTGATTCAGTAGTCAACGGCGTGAACTACTGTTTCAAATTACACGCACAAAAGAAAGAGGAAGAATGTCTCTTCAGCTTTAATACGACTATGACTATGGCTATGTCTTAGGGTTTCTTATCTTCGACCAAAAATCATGGATTGTACTAATTCCGCCATGGCCACAAACCTAATTTCTCTTCATCTTCTTCTTTTGCTCTTTACTTTTAAGTTTCAACTCTCTTTGTCTGGTAAGTTCTATTCTAATCCTTGTGATTGATTGGAAACATGCATTTCTTGATATGGAACTGTTTTGATATAATGAAAATGAAAAATTTACTTGAATTTTGTTTAATGTGATTGATTTTATGTGTAGTTTTTTTTCTGTTATATAGCACATTAATGTGGAGATGAGGAGTGGTTTTGCTATTTCTCAGTTATTTCGTGTCTTGCTACCAGAATGTTTCTTGGCATTAATTTGGGTGTGCGTCATTTCTTGCAAATATTAAAGTAAATGCAGTTTCTGGCACTGTTGTTATGGTTCCATCTATATATATTTCATTTGGCTATGTGGATAGGAACCATGTCAATTTTTTGTCCTTGTGTTTTTCTTTGGGAAAAAATAAAAAAAATTTGGACAGTGGCAGATCGACTTTGTACTCCATTTTGGTTGAAAGTGTTGTATACAGGCTTACCATTCAACTTAAGTAGCCACATGTGTGTAATTGATCCTAAATATATGATATTTCTCAGTTGTTAATGTTTTCGTGTTATGTTTTAGTCCTTTTGAGAATATGATTGTGATTTGCCACTTCTTTTTAATAATTGTTTTCTTGTTGTATACTGCTGAATTTTGTCTGTTGGGAATTAATTTTTCTTTCTTTGCTGCAATTTCAGAGGATACTAGCACTATGCAGTCGGTTCCTGATCTCCAGAAGTCCATGTATAAAGTTATTGATGGATATCCTTGTGTGCGACTACTAAATCTTTCTGGAGAGATTGGTTGCGCTAGTAAGATGCTTCAAGAGCTTGCCTCTATTTGTCTACTTAACACGATATTTCATGGTACCTGAGCTTTTTTATGTAATGCATATTTGGTGTGCCATTCTTCTCCCTTTGTTTCTTAGATCCTGGAAGGGACAAGGTTGTTGCTCCGGTTATAAGATTCAAGAATGCCAGAGAGCTGGCTCATTCATCTGCTGTTTTGGTGTCATTGGATGAAATTCAAGAACTTTTTGACAGGCATGTATATCAATTCATTGATGAAATACTAATTGCATTTTTTGTCTCCTTTTCTGATTCCCAGCTAGCTTTGCAATTAATAATTCTAGCGGCATGAAAAATGTGGTAAATCATGTATTTTATATGTGCAGTTTGACTTCTTAAATCGGGAAAATCATAAAAGCTATTTTGATTTTCTGGAAAGTGAGTAATATGTCAGGCATCAAATTTTAGAAATTTTTATGTATCTGAATTCAGCAATCAACGGTGCTGTTAAAAAGTTCAACTAGAACAGTAGAACCAAATAATGCCCGTCTCACATAGCCCCAAAATGTGCATAGACCGACACAATGGTCAGTTTTGATGTCTATGGAACGATAAATTGATTACTGATATTCTGGATAATTATATTCTCTAAGTTATGAAAGTTTTTTGAGAGAAGTTTCGCTTCCTAAAGCGATTTATGCTGCTGCTTCAATGTCTATTGCAAACATAATAATCTTTGTGGCTTCAACATGAGTAACTCATGCATAGTGCTCTTATATGTTTCTCACGTTCATTAGAAAATGCCAATGCAATATGGACTTCATGACTCTATGATAGAGTCTAGGCTGTGTTGCTTAAAAAACTGCAATCACTGATATATATATTCCTTCTATGGTGTGGATCATGGTATAAAATATCATTATTTTTTGAAGATGTTTTCTATTTAATTGCTACTTGAAAATGTATGACCAGCGTACTAATGTTTGAAACTCCTATATTTTTTTCTTGCATATTGCCTGTGGGATTTAGGATGTCTTAGGTTTAGTTGAATATCTTTATTCATAGTTTTTTGTTGATTACGTTGATTGATATGTTTTTTGGTTTCATATTCATTAAATTATAATATCTTTCACAATATAACATCAGATCTGTTTATGCTTCAGAATATCAAATGATTCAAGTTTTGCCAAGAATATAGGCGGTGTTTTAGTTGAGCCTAGAACCAAAAATCAAAGTCAATCAACAGGTAATTGCGGCTATCTGCTAATAAACAACCTCTTTTTGATGAGTGATGATGCAGTCAGATGCTTTTAAGTAATGATAGTGGACTTTCATCTTTCTTTTCAGGATTCTCTCCTGCTCAAAAGTTTCCAGAAGTTCAATTTGCCCCTTATAAAAGTGTCAACTACGAATGGAACCCAATTGTATGCTATGAGTTTGTATTCAACAAATTTCTTAAGTTTGTAGTTGTTATTTAATATTACTCAGCTTCTTGTTTTCCAACTTCTTTTCATGTGTTAGTTATTTTACTGTTCATTTTTGAAGCCTCCTTTCATTGATTACAGTGTGATAGCAAAATTCATGAAATTTTTTTTTCCACTATTTCAATTTAATTAATAAAAGAAAAGAAAAGAAAAGAAAAGTGTCAGTCTGTATTCACATGAAATTATGTTAATGCAAATCATTTGCATTGAATTCCACTCTGATGAATAATAAATTGTGGAAGTTAAAGTTTTTGTATCTGGTCAACTAGCTAAAGTTTCATCAATTTTTATTTGCAGGGATCTGGTATTATGTGGAAAGCTTATAATTTCCCTGTGTTCTTACTCTCAGAGGAGAGCAGTCAATTCATGCAGGAGGTAAGACATATAGTTTCTAGCAAGAACAGGTGTGCCTCCATCATTTGGGGATAGAATAGATACTTTATGAGTTTAGTAATATTTCTGTACCCTGGGAGCATGACCAGACTTGATTTCTAATCGACACCATTATGATTTGTATAAGTTTTTACTCATCCGCAGTTGTTTTTTGTGAATGGGTTTACTGATTCACCATGTTAGTAGGTTGCTTCTATAACCTGACTAATTTCTATTAACTTCTCTATTTATTTGGTTACATGGCCTCCGTTGTGGATTATTTCAGGATATGAGAGTGAGAATCCTTTAATGGGTAAAATTTAGAAAGTATGTGATTTACTAAATAGTGGAGAAGTTCTTAATAATTAGCCAACCATTTAAATTCTACTGGCCAAGGAAATTTTATATTCAAAAAATAATTGAATCTGTACCTGATTAGATATACTTCAGTCTATTTTCAAACATTATAATGTGTTATGCATCTATAACCACATACAAAATGGATCCCTCGTAATTTACGCTAAAATTACTGTATCCTTTTGTTATTATTATTATTATTTTTTTACTGGATATGCTTTAGCCTTTTCTGCTACAGCAGATCTCTGAGTTGATTTACTTTACATTTCATACTATCACAAATTCATGCAGGTTGCTTTGAAAAATGCGAACCAAAAGAATGCTTATACTGCATATGTGGCTGAGTTTGATTCAGTGATGCAGGTACTTGATTATGATGCTACAATACAATGATTATCTTCTTTGTTTTTCAAACATTTGAACTAGATGATTTACTTAAACTGATTGCTATATTTCTTGGTTTTTTCATTAGACAACAAAGTCTGGGACTCATGATTCAGAATCTTGTTTAAGAGAAGGGACTTGCCTTCCTTTAGGTGGATACAGGTAGTTTATGTTCAATTTTTTTTCCCTCTTAATGCTGTTTATTGATTCAGTTCATTATCCAATTGGTTTGAAATTATTAAATTTTGATATCGAGCCTATTTTTCAAACATGATCAGATGAACTTGTACTTAGTTAGAGGGATATCACTTCCCGTCTATGTTTCCTAGTATGTGTAATGGGAACTTGTGTTTATAAAGTGCCAGATGCTTGTACATCATATTATGCTGCTTGGTGCCTTGGTTTAAAAATATTCCCAAGAAATTACGAAACAATTAATAGTGTCCCCCCCACCCCAAAAAAAAAAAAAAAAAAAAAAAAATTGGTTTTAAAAATTTACGCCAAGAAATTTACGAACAATTAATAGTGTCTTTCGCCCACCGCCAAAAAAAGAAAAAACCAAAAAAAAAAAAAAAAAAAAAAAAAAGTAGCAAGAACAGTCATGTGCCAGCTTGTGAGATTACAAGCTAAAGGGAACCAAAGCAGCTCTAGATTTTACATGGGCAGGTCACTTGCTTGTTTATGAAGTGAATTGAATTATTTCATTGAAAAACAGATTCAGTATTCGTAGTGGTCTATTAACAACTGAACCTGTCTTTGGGCTGGAAGATTACTGAGTTTTCTTTTGAACTTCAAGTTTTCAGCTTAATAATTGATTGTGTATGTTAATTGTGAAAGGCAGTGTTTGGTCATCACTCCCACCAATTAATGTTTCATCCTCAAATCAATCCAAGCCAATTATATTAGCAGCATCATCTATGGATTCTGCGTCATTTTTCCGTGACAAAAGCTTAGGGGCAGAATCTCCTATTTCTGTAAGTTCCAAGATTATAATGCATTTTTGTTACTCCCTCCGTTCCACTTTAATAGCAACAAATGGGCAATTTACCTTGTTCCACTTTAAGTGCTCATTTAGGATTTTGAGAGTATATTAATAATTTTTTTTTCCAATTTTACCCATATTTATTAGGTGTTTTGTAGCAAAATTAGATGGGGAGCTTTTAATTTTAAGAAGGACAATTTAGATATTCTATCATATATTTTTAGAAAATTAATGTATTCCAATCATTTTCTTAATCTTTATGAAAAGATCAAATGTTGCTATTAAAGTGCAATGGAGGGAGTATTATTTTATTTCTTGCTGATCTTTCTTGTATCCTGAATCAATGCCCAAACTTTTAGGGATTGATTTCCTTGCTGGCTGCAGTTGATTCGCTTTCTCATGTGGATGGCTTGAGTGATCTCAGCAAGCAGGTGTGTGAAATTGGTACTGTTTGATCAATCTGTTGTCTGTGACTATTTGCTTATCAATAGATATTATTCAACCGAGAGCCTCTGTCAGTGCGTGGTGATTGCCATTCATTTGAGTTCTTTATCTGCTTTTCTGATTCTTGTCTAGTTGTCTTGATTCAAAAGATAGTTCTGCAATAACTTTAGTAGTTCCAATTACCTCTTAGTTCAGAGCAGAGATGTCAGTTGACTTGTTACTGACCAACCAATGCTAATTCCTGGGTCTGGCTCAAGTTTAGCAGAGGCCTTTTGGCAGATTTCACAAAATCAAAGTTCCATTCTTTCCCTTCATTTGGAGTCATTAATGCTTTACTTTTTCACATAGTATAGTTTCTGGTTAGAGAAAATCGAGATTCTAGCTTTTGTTTTTCCAAGCTTAACTTTCTAAGATTTTAAGGAACTTGTCCTTCCACATTTTACAAATAGCAAAAAATCTCCTTCCCTACATTTATAGGAACTGATACTTAATTCTGTTAATTTGCCATTAGATGGTGTATTGTTGACTCCACTTTTCTTGCTTCTAATGTGAAATGGCTGTAATATTTGCTGAAACAAATCAATACATGTGCTAAATTCATCCCGTTTAGTAATTTAGGATGTTAAAAGAAGAATGCCTGCTCTCCCATTTAAGTTAAAAGTCAATAAGTCAAATGGCTGTGTTGTCAACAATACTCTTCAAATGGCTCTCCTCAATCTCTACGCCACTTTCCGCTAAAAAGATTAATGAGGTAAGGTTGGTGAACTTAAAAAAAAAAAAAAAGGAAAAAATATTCATTCAAATGACTCCTTAATTTTTGTGGAAAAGTCAAAATGGACTCACACTTTGAGATGGAGGGAGTATAGGGCTGGAGAGAACACCAACGCATTGTGGATTTAATTAGCATATTATTACAATTACCATACTTTGAAACAGCCAATTAAAAAATTGCAATGAAAAATTCAATAAGCTGTGGATGAATTCGTCTTTTTTTGGTGGAACAGCCAATTAAATATGGATGCATTTTGATTTCATGTTTTTGCTGTAATACCACTGAAGGGTGGTATCTATAGTACTGTTAATATATTTTGGGGGCGAGTCTTGGTGTGGTAAATTTTCTCTATGATGACTTGTGTACTGTTTCCAACCACAAGCTCCTTGCAAGGGTATGGTTGCGTATGTTTGAGCCTTCAATTGGACACATAGTTTGAGAAACCTTGTGTGTTGGACACCTTTGTTATTTTTTTGTTTTTGGAGGCTTGTCATACTGCTGGTGCATCTTAATAACTTACTAATAGTTTCATATTGTTGTTCAGCTTGTCTTTTCAGTTTTCACTGGGGAGGCATGGGGTTACCTCGGTAGCAGAAGATTTTTGCTTGAACTTGATTTACGGTCAGATGCTGTTAGTGGCCTTAACGACAAACTAGTTGAGACGGTATTTCTCTATTCTCTGATATCATAATCTGAAAGAGGATACCTCTCTATCACGCCATGGTTAATTTTATTTAGGTTGTGCACACATATAATGCATATATAAGCATTAGTCAGACAAATAGAGCGACTTAAAACTCAATTATTGAAGAAAATAAAGATTCAGATGGCATAATGGTATTTATTTCTATGTTTTGTGAACCTAACTGTCATGTAAATGGATTTTGGGTTCGTCATGATCCATTGGAGCTTATCATTTTAATCTCAGGTTTTAATATTTAACCGGGCTAACATCTTATCTGCGCAATGATTTGGCATAGGTCATAGAAATTGGATCTGTTGGAAAGGGCTTCAGCGGAGGGAATAATACCTTTTTCATTCACAGAGCTGGGGTGCGAAATCTTTACTTTGCCTTCTACTTCTTCCACTCAAGTTGTTGTATTTCTCCTTTTCCCTTGTCAGATCTCTCTTTCTCTAACTGGATATATTGCAATGTGAATAAAACTACTTAACATGTGTAGAGAATATGATGGTAATGATAGAGGTGATGGTGGTTGTATTGGTGAGTGAAACTTTAATGTGCCTGGAGTTTCAAGAGGGTGATGGTGGCAGCAGCATTTGCTACTCCAGTTTTTGTTATTTGAAATTACTAATCACCTGATGTAAGCTTAGCTCTTCAAAAAAAAAAAAAAAAAAAAAAAAAAAAAAACACCTGATTGTAAGCTTAGCTCTTTCAAAAAAAAAAAAAAAAAAAAAAAAAAAAAATGATTTGTAAGCTTAGATATCTACACGAGACTCGGCAGCTATGGAGTCTGATGATTTGCAAATGCTGTAGGAAGGACATATTCTTAAAAAAAAAAAAAAAAAAAAAAAAAAAAAAAAATGATGTAAGCTTAGATATCTACACGAGACTTCGCAGCTATGGAGTCTGATGTTTGCAAATGCTGTAGGAGGACATATTCTTTTAGGAGTAGTGCAAGTTCACGATCCAAGTAACACCTCAACTAAATCATCCAAGTTGACTAAAACTATCTCGTTTCATGGAAAACATATTGGGCTTGTAAAATAAAGATAGTATGATAGATGAAAGTTATAGGTCAATTTAGATATTTAAAATATGTGCTTGGCTACTTTATTTCACCATTTGAGATAGTCTTGTCTTTCAGACAAGGTGATGTAACATGTGTGCTCAACATGGACATTTAAAAGGAAGTTGTTGAGTAGGATATATTTTCAGTTGTCTTGCTTGAGCTCAGATGCTAGTATCATGATATCATGATATACTTGCAAAAGATGCAAATAACATGGTTATTTGTTTTCTTAAACTCCTAGTGACTTAGCATTCGTTCTTCTGTATCTGTCCCTTTGTTTTCAAATCATAGTTTTTCTCTTTATCCTGCTTTGCCCAAAAGATTATAGATGCTTGACTTCATGTGTATGTGCTTGTGTGTATGACCTCTCAACTGATGAATTTTTCATTAGCCTCACCATCCATGTGTCTGGATTGAATAGATATACTGTTCATTAATGTAGGTTTCTTCAGCTACAAATGAAACATTGAAAGCCTTCAAACATGCACAAGATTCTCTTGAATCAAAAAATGTGACAATCGTAGAGGCAAGCACTTCTAACCCTGGGATACCCCCATCATCTTTGATGGCATTTCTGAGAAAGGTCAGTGGCAGTTAATTCAAGTCATTATTACTGCAATCATTATGCAACCTTATTTTTTATTTGCAGAATTAGAGGAGACAGTTGACTATCTTGTTAAGAGCTATCAAATTATCATGGATTGGTGTTGTGTGTGAGAGCTGTTGGGATACAGTTGATCATGTTTTGTACCAAACAATAGTGAGTAGAAAATTGACTGGCACTTTATTACAATGTAATGTTGCAAGAGAATTATGGACACTATGTGTCTTCTGGATTATTATGCGAGATGGAAAGACAATTTGCGCAGGAATATTCTGTGGAAGTGTATTTGGAAGGTTAAGGCACATTGGTAACTTGTTTTTGTCATTCCAACAACTTGAGGGAAATATTTGGATTTTGGAGTGTAGGTGAGCTGGTAAAGAAAAATCAAGCTATTATGAATTAGTAATGTATTTGCAGAATCCTGATGAGACACATGAACATTTCCAATTGCAATGCTGAATTGCTAGGGAACTATGGCAATTTCTTGTTACTTGAGAGTTTTGGCTGATTCTAAAGTCTCCATTTGAGTTTTCAGTTATAAAAGTGGAATTTAAAGTAAAAATATTGGAACCTATTGCCATTATGCCTGATATTTGAGGCCTTGTGGCATCTGAATAGGGAGAGATGTTTGAAAGGTTGAACTATTAGTTATGTAAATTGAACTTGTGTTTTTGAGGTACAACCAAAGTGATTTTCCTTCATTATTTGGTCATTTCTTTTCTCGATCTTCTTGGATAGGTCTTAGTTTAGTTTGTACTTTTGGTGTTACTTTTACATCGTCCTGTTTGGAGTAGCATATATTCTCAAATAGATTTTATTGATGCTATTAAAAGGGAATAAATTCTGAAGCTATTGTTTGGTGCAAAAGTTCCATTTCATTTTGCTAGAATGAAAAACTTCCTCAGTTGCTTTTAGAAAATAGTTTGTACAAACATTTTTTGTTTGGAGCAAATAGATGGCGGCAAAGATATTTATAATATTACAATTTCTGTCTCTCTCATCAGAACTCATCAACAAATGGGATTGTATTGGAAGATTTTGATACTGCGTTTGCCAACAAGTTCTACCATAGTCACCTTGATGATATGTGTGAGTTTAATCTTCCCCCAGCTCCCCTCCATTTATATATATATTTTTTAAATTAATTTATCTGTGGTGCATGGTACATATTTTCATTGGGATATCTTCAATGCAGCAAATGTAAACTCTTCAGCTATAGTGGCAGCTGCATCTCTTATTGCACGAACCCTTTACATCCTTGCAAGTGGCAACAACAATTTAAGCAGCTCAGCCTTAAATGCTATCAACGTGAATGCCTCTCTTGTTGAAGAACTGATGAGTTGTTTATTGGGCTGTAACCCGGGTTTGTCTTGTGATCTGGTGAAGAACTATATGTCACCAACTTCTTCATGCCCAAATCATTATGTTGGTGTTATCATTGGGGAACCTTCTTCAACTCCGTACCTTGGATATGTTGACGACATTTCCAGGTTCATCTGGAATTTTTTGGCTGATAGAACTTCTACTCCAAAAGAGAATACTAAATCTGATTGCTCAAAAGGTTGTAGTAACAAAGATGAAGTCTGCATTAGGGCAGAAACAAATGGGAAGGGAGTTTGTGTTACTTCTACTACGAGGTAATGTCTGGCTAGAAGCATAAGCTTATTTAATAGTGATTAATTAGACAGTGTTTGATAACATTATTAAGCACTTAAAATTTTAAGAGCTTTTCTGTTTTACGTTGTTTGGTAGTGTTTATCTATCATTTAAAATTTTCAATTAATTTAGTAGTCGCTTTTTAACTTAAAATCTGTACTGAACACTATTGGATTATTCTTTTTATACAACTTTCAGGCTAAGAATTTCAGCGCTTGTATTATTTTTAGTTTTTTCAGCTCTTAAATATTCAGCACTTAATTTTTATTAAACCAACCAGCATCTTTGACTGCAGCTGAGCAGTTCACTCTATGGAATCCAATATATTGCATATTCTTATGCCAAATTGATTCCTTTGAAATTGTCTGCCTAACGGCAAGCCTGTTCTATATCTATATATGAGTACTGGTGCAGAGGTAGCATGCCAGTCTTCTAGTAGCTTGTTGCTGTACATTGATTTTAACACGTAGAACTTCTCACAATAAACCAAACTATGGCTTGAACTAGGAGTAGCTTACGCATTCTAGTTTTTTGTTTCTTCCACCTGGTCGATCCTGTAATACTACTTTTTTTAGGTCCAATGCTATCCTTGGTGTGGAGACTGCACCCTTCGCTGAAAGCGAAGCACAATTTTTTAGGCCAACATGCTGAAGTGCTGGATGATTAGAACTTAAATTTTATTTTCAGCAAATAATGACATAATTCCAATTTGTTATTTATTTTGTTAATCTTTACAGGTATGTGCCTGCATATTCAACCCGATTGAAGTATGAATCTGGAATGTGGACTGTTTTGCCAGCAAATTCCTCTGATCCTATGGGGATGGTGGATCCTGTGTGGACAGAGAGCAACTGGGATGTAATTGGCCTACGAGCATATACGATTCAGAATGCGTCTTATGATCGGCTTGTTTTGCTGGGAGGTATTGCTGTCACAATCTTGGCTTACGTTGTTATAGTAATTACAAGAGCCTTTATAACCAAAGTATTGAAACAAGATTGAAATTCTTTAACTTTGGTTGCATTTTGCATACACCGCATAGAAAATGATAGGAGTAGGGTTAAATATGGTGGTTATATTTCCTGGATTATATCAATTGCTATGATTTTGAAGTACTCGGTAGGATACTGCGTTACTTAATATGCATCTTTGTGCATTTCAGAGTACCGGGAACTAATGTCTGATTGAAGTACATGTTTTCAAATGGTAATGTCATTAACGTCATTTTAGAGTATCAATTTCCTTGACAATTTTTTTTTTTGGTCAAACTGGACATGACAGATTTATCATTTGGATTGTTCTTTGCTCTCTTGTTATGAAAGACTGTTGTATGCTGATTGTGCAATTAATAGCAATTGGAAGGGAAAAGAAAATTTTGAATGGGGAAAATGGATAGTGTACATAAAGTGAACCATGAAATATGCATATAATTTGGAGGAATTCATCATCTGTCATGTGAGATTTATGTATTGCCCTGATAAGGTTTTTTTTTTTTTTTTTTTTTTTTTTTTTGATAGTACAATAAAGTGAACCCATAGAAAATATGCATATAATTTGGAGGAATTCATCATTCTGTCATGTTGAGATTATGTATTGCCCTGATAAGGTTTTTTTTTTTTTTTTTTTTTTTTTTTTGGAGAAAAAACTTATTACATTTTTTTTTTTTTTTTTTTTTTTTTTTTTGGGAAAAACTTATTACATCCTATTATTTTATTTCAGTTTATAAGGATTTCATTGGACTTGTAACATTATACTACTTTTTTTAAAAAAAAAAAATTTATATTCGTTTTTTATGTCAGTAGCAGTAACGCATCGACTTAACAATAGTGACTTTTAACTTACCTCGCACTCGCAGTATGGCAAATATTAATTTTGTAAAGAAATTGAAAAACAAGGAGGGGTAGAATAACTTTTTATTATTTTCTCTCTTGAATGTTGCATTCATTATGTGCTGTTAATTTTCCAAAATTATACTAGTAAGGGTATATTTGGAAATCGGTACAAAGAAATTAAAATAATTGTTATTGGCAATCCTCAGTAAATTAGAAGTGATTCTTAAAAAAAGAAAGAAAAGAAATTTAGATAAATGAAAATAATATAAAAATTAAAATAAAGTAAAAGAAATTGTTATAATAAAAAACTTGATGAAACTTTGAGCATCTCATGTTAATAAACTGGTAAAAGTGATGAAATTTGCGCGATTTGTCTGATAGCACAATTGTGAAAGGGTTTATCATGATACTATATTTTTATATTTCAATAATAATTATATCTTTACCAAGATAAAATGTGAAAGTGCAGTGCAAATTTATTTCATTTTGGTTAAAGATATAATTATTACTGTAATATGAAAATATATAATCACAATAAATTTCATTTTAGTAAAGGATATAGTTATTACTATAATGTATGGTCACAATAGATCCTGCAAATTTGAGAATGACATAAATTAAATCGCATAAACTTCAAAGTATAAATTTATACCTTTAGTTTAAAATTTGAGAATTTACAAATGTTCGATGTAGAATCTACTCAATTTGCATTAGTCGATGAAGTAATGAGTCAGTTGAACATTAGGCAATTTATCTTGAACGATAAGTATGAAAATGAAGTGAATTTTTTTTTTTTTTTGGGAATATATGTAAATTAATACTAAAATTAAGTTATATGAATGTATTAAAACGTTTAATGTATCTACGTCAAACACCTGACATCTCTTAGATACTTCGGAACATGTGTTCGATATTTTATTTTACTAATTTCAGATATTTTAAGGACATTTCTGAAACACTTAAAATACATTTCTTGAATACTTTAGAAGTATCTTTGAAAATTTTATAAGAGTTTTAGATAAATTTATCATTAAAAAAAATTAAAATTGTTATATTAAATATATATTTGATAATTATTAATATTTAAAATATAAAATCAAAAGATTTATCTCCCCTCTTGGTCTTTCTTCTTGGCTGGAGCATGATCTAGCCAATGTTACTTATTTGAGTTCTTCTTCTAGTTACTTGTTGTTATTCTCTCTTTTTCACTAAAAAAGACGATACAAAAGACCAAAAAAATTTTATTTTTAATTTATAATTTATTACATTTCTATGTCTAATTGAAAACTAATTGACAGATTTAAAATCAGTAATTTATAAAGTTTATAAAAAGAAAAAATAGTTGATAATATTATGTTAAAGGAACTAAAAAATATGGAATATTGTTGGAGATTAATTTGATTTATTTTAAAGATGTCAAAATTCTTTTAGTTGTCAATTTATCTCTAAATAAGCAAGAGATAATATGATTTTCAATAATGATGTTAATTTCGAGAATTTAATTAATGATATTGAAATAAGAAATGAAGTGTTTTTTTATTTTATATTTATGAATTATTATAAATGATTGTTTATTTATTTAAATTATTATTATTTCTATTCCAGAATATTTGTCACAATTGAAATTTCATATCTCTTAAAAAATCATTAAATTTGTTTAAGTTACAATAATTATTGAGTAAATTCACTATATTATCTTTAATTTAATATTAATTATCTTAGAAAACTATTAAATTGAAGTAATAATCATTGATTATATACAAATGGTAAATATAAAAAATAAATATTTATTACTTTTTGAAACTACAAATATGTAAATATAAAAAATAAAATATTTATTACTTTTGAGAAAACTTACAAATGTGGATAAAATTATTTTAGAATAAAATAAAACTATTAAATTGAAGTAATAATCATTGATTATATACAAATGGTAAATATAAAAAATAAATATTTATTACTTTTTGAAACTACAAATGTGATAAATATTTTAGAATAAAATATTTTCTCAAATATGATGAATATTATGGAACGGAGATATTAATAAATTATATTCATTAAGTGTAGGGTATCCTAATTGTGTCAATATTCTATTTTTTTTGGAAAAAATTATCATGTATCATGTTTGTTTTGGGTTGTGTCCAAATCTATATAACCCAAGACTAAAGTAACAAACGTTTTGTAATGTTAGAAAGAAATAGTCTTTGTATATTCTAAAATACTTCTATTGAGGTTAAAAGTAAATAATTAAAAATTTACATTGCTTAGCATAGTAGCAAATAAAAGAAAAGGTATTATTTTCAATTGGAATAAGGGTTAATTTAGCCATTTATATATAAGAGAAAAGAAGTTAAATTTCATCTTTTGAGTCATTTCGGTCCATAACTCATGCTAAAATGGTGTAAATAACCCTAGGTTTTGCATGGTCAAAGATGATAAAAAATAAATTTTTAAAATTTTTTCCATTTTGTCCCGCTCATTGATTTCTCACCGGCCTCTGCACTCTTAAATCATCACAACTTCACAAGCATCAAAATAAGCTCCAAAATAGTTAGCGAAAAAAGTTTTGAGGTGTTTGAGGCCAACATAATTAACTGCTTCGTCTTTGCATGTTGAAGAATTAATTTACTCATTCTTGAATTTCACTTCGATTAAATAATATGGTCTGTTCATCTCCAAAATGATATTTTCCTATTAAGTCAACGAATGTACTCATTATTTTGTCTCACTTAATACTATTTTTTTTTTGTTTGACTAAGACAATTTAACTTTTTGGACGGAAGATGATATTATTCGATAGAGGCAAAATTCAAGAATGAGTAAATTCATTCTTCATAATATAGGAAAAAGTAATTAATTACGCTAAACCTCGAGATCCTCGAAATTTTTCTTGCAATAATAAATATAATATAAATATTCTTTCATATCTCCTCCCTCTGCAGATTCTGTAGCCAAGAAAAAATGGCCTCCTAAATTAATAATAACATATCAAAAGGTGCATTTTAGATTAAAAAAATTGGCTATTGTGTTGATTTGTTAAAAAAAAATCAAAAGAAAAAAAAAAAAAAAGAAAGATGGGAGAAGAAAGAAAAGTGAGGTTCAAGCACTTTAGAGTAAAAATGAATTTCTCGTTGGATAGCTCAAAATATGGTTTATTTACATTATTTTAGCATGAGTTACATATTGAAATGACCCAAAAAATGAATTTTGGCTCTTTTTTTTCTCCCTTGCAAATAAGTTTAGGACCCTTATTCCGTTTTCAATTCAATTTCACTTGATTTTGATAGTTTTAACCCAAAGTGTAAAATAAATTGATAATTCGATTTTTCAAATCTTACAAATCAAATTATATTGTTAACTTTTAAAAATTATATAACTTTGAATTGATTTGAGTAGCTTAAGCAATTTATTTAGAAGCACTAATAATTTCAATAAAAAATGTAAAAAAGTTTCGAATACTAAATTATAGTCAAATTAATACTTAGATTTTTTTAATTTTAAAAATAATTATAGAGTCTTTAAATCGTACTCAAACTATCCGTCGTATTCATCCCGCCTAAAAAAGTGAGATATTGTCTATCAATTAACATGGAAAAGACAAAAACAACCCTATTTAAAAAAATTTTGAATCCCTAAATTATAGTAGAACTAATATATTGATCTCTAAATTATACTTTTGTCCCAAATTAAGGTCCCTAATTTTTAGCGGGATGGATTTTTTATTAGTTTCTCTATAATTTAAAGACCTTATAGTTATTTATTGAAAATAAAATATGTATAATAGAATCGTCATAATCTAGGGATTAAATTTCTTATACCCATAAAATAATTTTAGTTGTGATAAATTCTTTAAATTGTAAATATATATTTAGTTGAATATTTGATTTTTTTTTTTAAATCCTCAATATCAACTCTGAGACTAAATCAACTCTTAATACATTTAAAAACTAAAACAAGAAAGGATAGAAGCGTTCAATTCACTAATGGCAGACAAAAAGAAAATTTACTATTTGATCAAGGGTAAAAATAGCATTTCAAAATTAAGAAAAATCTAACAAAAGAAATTATTTAGTGCAATAAAAATATAGTACAGGGACTGTATTGGAGTGACTTGTCTACTTTATTATAATATAGGGTTGAAACAGTAATTTAAAAAACAATTGGGCCTTTGTAGCCCATTAATCCTTGATTAAAAAAACCGGGTGGGTCAAAACCGAACCGTAACAGCTCCTCCATCTTGTGTGGAGTAATGCGGACACACGCCTGCAATTCATTCTCTTCTTCACTCTCAAAGCTCAAAGAACAATCTCTTGACTCCATCATCTTCCATTTCCAATAGATCTAAGACCTCAAATTTCAATAATTCAATACAAAAACCAAGGTCTTATAGAGAATAACTGAAATGGGGCTAGGGATATTAGCTTCTAGGGTCATCAGACCCCACGCTACCAAGCCTAGAAACTTGCTTCTCCTCCGCTCCATTGTCACCAAGCCCGAGCTTCAATCACCTGAAGCTTCTGCTGCCGCCACCGCACCTGACCCCACTCCAGATCTTCCGCCGCGAACTCCAGTCGCCGGTGCCCGGGTCCACTTCCCCAACCCCGATGATGCGATCGAGGTCTTTGTCGATGGGTATCCGGTCAAAATCCCTAAAGGAATGACGGTTTTGCAAGCTTGTGAAGTCGCTGGTGTTGACATTCCTCGATTTTGCTATCATAGCCGACTTTCCATTGCTGGTAACTGCCGTATGTGCCTTGTTGAGGTCGAGAAGTCTCCAAAGCCCGTTGCTTCTTGCGCTATGCCTGCTCTACCAGGTTAGGGTTCTATTTATTTTTATGATTCATCTGGGATTTTTTTTAATAGATCATTTGGTTGAGTATTCTATGTAGTTCTTAAATTACGGTATTATAAATTTGATGGATTTGGTAACTATTATATGTTTGCGGTTCTAGTTGATGGTTCGAATCAGTGGTTTATATCATTATTTCTATGGTTTTGTTTGATGAATGAAGAACGAAAGTCAATTTTTTTTTTTTTTTTTTTTTTTTTTTTTTTTTTTTTTTTTGGGTTTATTTATTTATTTTTGTTTGTTTTGGTAATCGGCAGTGGCACAAATTTTGTGGGCTTGGTTTGCAGTTTTTTTTTTTTTTTTTTTTTTTTTTTTTTTGGGTTTATTTATTTATTTTTGTTTGTTTGGTAATTCGGCTGGCAAATTGGGCTTGTTGCATTTTCGAAATTGGATTTTATATTATGCCCGTAATGTCTTAGATTTTTACGCTAATTTAATATAGTTTGATGATACGCACTTATTTTACCTTAACTGCTAATTGTGATTGTAATTATGTACCATAACTGGTATTTTAATTCTGCTACAGTTGAATTGTTTGATATACTGATTCATTTCTTGTTTATGGTATTTTTCCTCCTATGAGTTGATAGAGTTTGATTGTTGCTTGAAATTGTTGTTCTGTTGTTACTTAATTGTGTCGGAGATTTCTTTCATGTGAGTTATTTTGTTTATTAGCTCTGGTTTTACTTCTGTTTTCTAGCTTATTTGCTTTTACTATCAATATAGATGCACTTGGATTAGTACTTTTTTGCTTTCTCCTGTTTGATAGTTGTATGAATATGTGGTTCTAAGAATTGCATTTCTAATATTTGATTATTGTGTTTCTGCCTGAGAATTTGGGGATATGTTCTGCAACATTTTAAATATTTCTGGTTGATTGTAACATTAATCAAAAAGCTCTATAGTTTGTAATTTATACTTTCCTTCAAGCTTCATCTGCATTATATGGTTGATCAAGTTCTCTTTCCCCTTACAATAGACATTATTATTGTGATCTGAAGTTAACCTTTTCATTTGGTACTTCCATTTTAGTTTGCTTAAATGAACTACCACTTCAAGTATTGCTAAATAAACTATATTGTGTTTCTCTTGTATTGATATGATTTGTTGATTATCCAAACTTTTTATTTGGCTTACTTCTTGATTAGGTTTGATTTATTAGAGGATTTGTATTTTAGGGATGAAGATTAAGACAGACACACCTGTGGCAAAGAAGGCACGCGAAGGGGTTATGGAATTTTTGCTCATGAACCATCCATTGGATTGTCCAATTTGTGATCAAGGTGGAGAGTGTGATCTTCAGGATCAATCTATGGCATTTGGATCAGATCGTGGCCGATTTACTGAAATGAAGCGATCTGTGGTTGATAAGAATCTTGGTCCTTTGGTGAAGACTGTGATGACTCGGTGTATTCAGTGCACAAGGTCTGAACGTATCAAAATTATCCTCATTCTTCTTATGAGTTAATTGCTGAATCTCAACTTGTGCACAGAGTGAAAATCATGTCCATTATTTTATTAACTTACCGAAACCACTTGCATTGCATCTCCTAACTTTATCTTTACTTTTTGAATTGTTTGCTATGACATAATTTAGCATTTCCTCTGAAAATCGAAGAACTCAATTAGTTCCTAGCAATAATAAACTGGGGCCCATAAAACTGGTGCCGCTTTGCAATGAGTGGGAGCTGATTAATAATTTTATGGCTGTATTGTGCATATATGACCAATGTCCCATGGCATTTCATTATTATGTTTAGCATCCCATTCTGCTACTCAAATAGGTTATCTAGAGAGATTTATTCCGAATTTTAACAATTGGATAACCAACTGGGGTATTGTAAATTTTGGCATTCTATCTTAAGAAGGAGCATGTTGGATTTTTTTTTTTTTTTTTTTTTTTCATTCGTATCTTAAGAAGGAGCATGTTGGAAGTTTTTTTTTTTTTATTTTGTTTTTTTTAAATGCCCAATATGGTGCTTGTTTATTGGGTTTGCCATTTGTTTTTTTTTTTTTTTTTTTTTTTTATGCCAATATGTGCTTGTTTATTGGGTTTGCATTTGCAATTGGATGAATGCCTTATTTTCGACTTATAAGTCTGCATTGATTGCTGATTACTTTTTCACCTTTATCATCCATTCTTCCTTATGGTATTGAGATTTAGCTTTGCGTTGTTGACCATCATTTCTTTGTTTTTGTGTTTTCATCTCTAGATGCAGGTAATCTGCTTAAAGAAGCTGCCAAAGCTAATTTGGTTCTTGTGGTTTTTTCTTACTTATTCTGAAATATGACATATGACTAATATTTGGAAATTTAATTTTCTAACCCTTCCTTTGTCTTTCTTTCACTTTTCTTGCCCCATTTGTTGTGATAAAGTTTTGAGGAAAATGATACTCTCTTCTCTTGGTATAGGTTTGATTTGGAAAATCAGTTATTCGAGTCTTTTATTTTCCCATGAACAATTTTATTTGTATTTTATTAGATAACATGCTTTGTAATTATTCTGTTTAAGTTTTGAGTTCCTTCTGATTTGGTAATTCACTTGACATTGGATTTTGATGTTGATTGCTTTTGGTTGGGTTTGTAATGATGCTATGATGATGTGCTATTTGATCTTTAAGGTTGGTGGAGGTTGGAATTTCTTTGATTTCTGTTGATCACATGTCATGCAATGAAGCTGTTTGCATTTCCTGAGAGGATGTAAATTTAGGGTGGTATTCATGTTGTTAATATCTTTATGAAAAAGCGTCCATGGACATTCTTTAGTCCTGCTAATGAAAATTTTTGATGACTTTTGATTTGATCAGTGTTCTTGCAACTTGAGTTGGGTCTAGTGTTGTAACATACTGAAGAAGCTCTCTCATTTTTTATTTGTTTTTGGTCCAACAGGTGTGTCAGGTTTGCAACAGAAATTGCTGGAGTCCAGGATCTTGGCATGTTAGGTCGTGGCAGTGGAGAAGAAATTGGGACTTATGTTGAAAAGCTCATGACAAGTGAACTTTCTGGAAATGTGATAGATATCTGTCCTGTTGGAGCCCTTACTTCAAAACCTTTTGCATTTAAAGCCCGGAATTGGGAATTGAAAGGGACAGAAAGCATTGATGTTAGTGATGCGGTTGGATCCAACATTCGGATTGATAGTAGAGGTCCGGAGGTCATGCGCATCATTCCGCGGTTAAATGAGGTATGCATAAATAAGCTGGATGTTGCATCATTTTGGTGATTTCTAAGATAGTTTAGTCAAAGGATCAAATAGCTTCCAGTTCATTCGAGGCATCAAAATGCTTCTAGTTTTAGTCAAGGTGTCAAATTGCTTCTTTGTGCCATGAAGGGGCCATATTTTTTCCCATTAAGAGAAGATAGGTGTACTGTTTTATGTTTTTTAGAGAAGTACAAACTGGCGAAAAGCTCGTTGTCACGACTAATTTTAGGCCATTGATAAATTTTTATTGGTTATATCTTGTTGATTAATAACCTATTATGGCCTAATCCTAATTAATACGGATGTATTCTTGAATTGGCAAGATTTCCTTGGTTAAATTAATATGATACAGTGGTACTCATAATCCCACTGTTGATTCTGCTCTTCAAAGAGAAGACATACATTCTATTGAATGTGTTATTTGAATTTATTATAGTTAGCATCTTTAATATGAAAATTCTAGTTTTCCTGTTCACTAGATTCAAATGGGATTAATAGGATGTCAGAAATATATTTTTATATATTGTTGTTGTTTCCATTGTTTTAAGCATCTCGGATACGAGTTCACCTGTTCATCCTGTTGGGTTCCTGTTGCATTCCTATTTCAGGACATAAATGAAGAATGGATATCAGATAAGACTCGGTTTTGCTATGATGGTCTGAAGAGGCAGAGACTCAACGACCCTATGATTCGTGGCACGGATGGGCGCTTTAAGGCTGTGAGCTGGCGTGATGCCTTAGCTGTAGTTGCTGAGGTAATACATCAAGTTAAACCTGAGGAAATTGTTGGAGTTGCTGGTAAGCTGTCTGATGCTGAATCCATGATGGCACTGAAAGATTTCTTGAATAAAATGGGGTCAAATAATGTCTGGTGTGAAGGAAATGGCCCAAACCCAAATGCTGATCTACGATCTGGATATATAATGAATAGTAGCATTAGTGGGCTTGAGAAGGCAGATGTCTTCCTTTTGGTTGGTACTCAGGTAATGTACTTGAGCTGGCGTGATGGCTTAGCTTGGTAGTTGCCTGAGTGTAATACATCAAGTTAAACCTGAGGAAATTGGTTTGGAAGTTGCTGGGTACAGGCACTGTCCTGATGCTGGAATCACATGATGGCACTAGAAAGATTTTCTTGAATTAAAATGGGGGTAAATAGATTGTCTGGTGTGGAAGTGTAAAGTGGCCCTCATAACACCAAATGTCCTGATACCTACGATTCTGGACAGTATATAAATGAATAAGGTAGCATTAGTGGGCGGAACCTTGAGGAAGGGCACAGATGTTCTTCCTTTTGGTTTGGTGACTACAGGTAATGTACTATACATGTCCACTGCTACCAATCTTTAGGTTAGTGGGCGCATGATTTTAATCTTAACACTTGGGTTATAGTTATGCCCCTTTTTTTTAATATTTGGCTTTTTGGTCTTTTCAAATCATGTTTTAGGGTTTCAAGTGTGTAGCCTATGAGTGGCTGTTTTTTATAGTAAGCTTGTTTATGGATCCGATCGTGGGTTTAATATGTGTTGTTGAGGAGAATATTGTAAGCATTTGGCACAATAATCTCTGAACAGGGTGAGGTTTGGGGGGTAGTTATATCATAGATGTTTTATATAACTGAGGAAAGATCAGACATTATGCATCATTCACTAGTCCCATGAATCTGGCGCGAGCTGCTCTTAAAGAAGAGTATATGAAGCTAGGCAATGTGGGGGTAAATGCGACTGGCTATCAGAGAGTATTCGTATATGATAGTGGTCGGAGCGTCGAGTTGAGTAGTGAGGAGGATCATCGTAGTGCGTCTAGATCGGAAGTGGTTATCACAGAGTGGTGTGGAGAGATGTGCCTGAGTCGCTATTAGAGGACAGATACTGCAAATGGGGCGTGAGGCCAGTTCAGGTTGGGGAGCAACGCAAGTGGCTAGCGAAGGGTTGGTTATGCATTTAGTGGCCCTTTACTCACGGATGGTTTTACACTGTTCGATGGTTCCAACTGAGTAGAAGCTGCCATGGTAAATGCTAGAATTCGCAAGACAGTTCGTGCAACCAATGCTAAGGTTGGTTATATTGGCCCTCCATCTGATTTCAACTATGATTGTGAGCATCTTGGCACTGGCCCTCAAACTCTCCTTGAAATTGCTGAAGGTCGTCATCCTTTTTACTCAAAAATCTTAAATGCCAAAAACCCAGCAATTATTGTTGGTGCTGGAATCTTTGAAAGATCGGACAAGGATGCAATTTTTTCTACTGTTGACGCCATTGCAAAAAAAGCAAATGTTGTGAGACCTGATTGGAATGGGTTCAATGTGTTGCTTCTCAATGCTGCACAAGCTGCGGCCCTTGACCTTGGACTTGTGCCAGAATCCAGCCAGAGTATTGAGTCTGCCAAGTTTGTGTATTTGATGGGTGCTGATGATGTGAACTTGGACAAGCTGCCAAATGATGCCTTTTTGGTATATCAGGGGCACCATGGGGACCGTGGTGTATATCGTGCCAATGTCATTTTGCCAGCAGCAGCATTTACTGAAAAGGAAGGTACCTATGCGAACACAGAAGGGTGTGCACAACAGACTTTGCCTGCAGTTCCAACAGTTGGTGATGCAAGGGATGACTGGAAGATAATTCGGGCTCTCTCTGAGGTAGCAGGGGCACGCTTGCCCTATGATTCAATTGGTGCCATCCGATCCCGGATTAGAAATGTTGCACCCAATCTCTTGAGCCTGGATGAGAGAGAGCCAGCTACTTTTTGGGCTTCGTTGAAGCCTGAGTGCACTCAAAAGATTAGTTCAACACCATTCAATGCTTCCGTAGAGAATTTTTACATGACTGATGCCATTACAAGGGCTTCAAAGATAATGGCACAATGCAGTGCACTGCTATTAAAGAAGTGAGTGCTGGATTTTGATCTTTGTAATAAAATTGCAGATCAAATTTTCTTTGAATATTTCATTTATCTATGTGAGGCCCTGTTTGGCCAAATTTTGATCTTTGTAACTGATGCCATTACAAGGGCTTCAAAGATAATGGCACAATGCAGTGCACTGCTATTAAAGAAGTGAGTGCTGGATTTTGATCTTTGTAATAAAATTGCAGATCGAATTTTCTTTGAATATTTCATTTATCTATGTGAGGCCCTGTTTGGCCAAGGGCCAAACTTCTTGAATGTTGGAGTAAAAGTAAATTTATTTAGGTTCTGTTTGTAACATTCCTACAAATGTAAAAGCATTTTCCTTAACTGTGTAAAAACTTGGAACTTTTAGACAATGCTGAAGATTGCAGCAATTTCTGCTTCGCTTGAACGCTTAATTAAAATTAGCTTTAACTTGCTTGTGACTTTTTAACAAAGCCTTTGTTTTTCTTTTTAAGATTTGGTATGAAAGAAAATATTCATTTTACTCTTACGAATATAATTTTATAGAACCCAAACATTTGCAAATCTGTGATGACACACTGTTGGAACTCAAATGAAATAAAACAAAAGGCAAAAACAAAAATAATTACGATCAATAGAGAAACATCCATCTTGTATTAAGTTGACTTCTCATGATGTCTCGGATTAGGAGCTTGATGTTGAGAAAAGAAGAACCTTCTTCCTCTGTTGCTTTCTTTAATCCTTTTATTTTTCTCTTCGCTTTCTTCTCCTTCTTCCGTCTAACTTGTCCAAAGCTGATTTACATCGGATTGGATCAGATATCCAGCGGATGTACTGATTTCATCAATCTCTGAGTGTGATTTTTAGTTAGAAAAACAATCTCTATGCGCGTGTTCTGATAGGGAAGTAGATAAACAATAAACCATTTTAGGAGAATGACAAAACAGTATATTAAGGCTAATATTACACGAAATATTAGTCTCCAGAAAATTTCTCTCAATTTGTCTTTTAGGCTTTGTATGATCGAACTACACCAAAATCTGTCAATTTAATTTTTTCATATTTGGTGTAAATACCACACCAATAAAAGTGTTTGACGTGGACACATACTGTCAGTTTGCTTGGATTAGAAAGTTTACACATTTATGTTTGACTAAAAATTGCGAGAATTTACAAATAAATTGTATTTTTGGATCAAACCAATAAAATTATGAATTTTTTAAAAAATATTCCAGACTTTATTTTTTTTTCCCTAAATATATGGTTAGAAATACTTTTTATTTTGATAGAAGTTTTTAATTTCATTAATTTGGTCCATTGCAGGCGTAGGTAAGTTTTTTCCTGAACTTTTACCACTAACAATAAAAATTTTCTAAAGCCAGGGGGCCATCTCTGCTAATTTAACTGAAAAAGACAAAGACAAATACAATTAAGATCAAATACAGAAACATTCATCTTGTATTAAGTTGATATTTTCTCATGGTTTATTTTTTGCTTGATTTCTTGGATTAGAAGTTTAATGTTGTGAAAAGAAGAACCCCACCGCCAACTTCGCCAACTCCTAATCCTCTTCAATTTAGGATTTGAAAGCTCACTATATAAGCAATTCATTAAACATGTTGTTTTGCAAACTTTTCTTCATCGATAGTTTAAGTTTCTCTCCATCAACAGTCTCACAAACTTCTCTTTATCGATAGTCTAACTTTCAAATTTACAATGGCAAGAAGAAAAACGAAGCGAGTTCTGAAGAAGCCAGTGCGGGTGGAGAAGCTTGAGACAACTTTCACTTGCCCGTTCTGCAACCACCGCCACTCTGTTGCATGCGTCATTGATAGAAAGTTGGGATTTGGAGAAGCAGAATGCAGTGTCTGCAAAGTTAACTACGTGACCAAGATCAACCCTTTGATGGAGCCGATTGACATTTACAGCGAGTGGATCGACGAGTGCGTTGGGGTTAACACAGCTTGAAGATAATTCTTGGTTTTAGTTTACTGTTCTTTTCAGTTAATATTAGTAACTTTAATAGTAAATGACAATTTTGTTTAGGAAATGTGAAGCGATCGAACGCTGTAATCAAGTTGTAATTTTTGATGATTCTTTAAAGAAATCTTTGATCTTTTGAATCTTTCATCTTCCTCATCTTTGCAATCCCGGTTGAAGGTTTTTGTTGATTGCCAAATTGAACTATGACTGTCCACACTAATTCCGGGGCTTAAAGTGGTTCTCACATGCATATTTTGTTGTAAGTTGAGTGTATTTCAAAAGATCTTACCTAACTTACGTAGGAGCTTCTAAAAAGTTTATTAATAGGTGTTTGATATTGGACTAGTAAAAGGTGTAGGAAGGGATTGGGTTTATATGCACAAAAGTCCAATCCTAATATTAACTAGTTTCAAAAGAACCCGTTAAATCCTAGCAAAGATTTCGCATTGCTTTTTATCTCTTTGCTGTGTTTGCCAAATAATCCTTTTAGAAGAGTGCTCTCGCACGTCTCAGGTTACAATTCGTTCTACATATTTCAATAGCAGTGTCATGGTTTATCACGAGGAAACAACTGACTTCAGGGTTGTGGCCTTCAGGGTTTTGGCCTTCTTTCTTGTACGAATATGGTTCTGTGTTAAAAAATATGTTGAAAGCTTCGCCGACTGTTTAAATTTTTTTTCACCTTAACTTCCTTGTTTATCACTTGTTAAAAGCAACTTGTCATAAAGTAAGTGATTACAAATTGCTTCAGCATATGTTGTCACTCTGTTGGAACTTAACTGAAATAAAATAAAAGATATAAAAAACAAATATAATTAAGATCAAACAGAGAAACATCCATCTTCTATTAAGTTGATTTCTCATGGTTTATTTTCTGCATGATATCTTGGATTAGGAGCTTAATGTTGAGAAAAGAAGAACCTCCTTCCTCTGTTGCCTTCTTTGCCATCTCTGCAAGTTCTTTAATCCTTTTATTTCTCTCTTCCCTTTCTTCTCCTTCTTCCATCAACTTGTCCAAAGCTCTCACAACATCTTCTTTTTTCACCAACAGACCAAACTTCCCTTCCTCTCCGAACTTCTCTGGAACCTCGACCCCAAAACTCACACCAATCTTCAGTACCTGAATAACTAGCTTCTCATTAATAAATTGATCAGCAAAAAGTGGCCATGTAGCCATCGGCACACCTGAGCTTATTGCTTCCAATGTTGAATTCCATCCACAATGCGTCACAAATCCTCCAATTGCTGGGTGTGACAGTATTAGCATTTGTGGCGCCCAGCCGCTAATGAAAAGACCTCTTCCTTTTATTCTCTCTTCGAACCCAGTCTCTGAAACCCATTTCTCTATTTCTTTTGATCTATAATCTCCTCCTCTTACTACCCAAATGAAAGGCCTTTTCGAGGATTCTAACCCTAATCCCAGCTCTATCACTTGTAAAGTTGTTAAATTAGGAAGGCTTCCAAGACAAGCGTAAATTACAGATTTTGGACTCCAAGCATCAAGCCAATTCAAACATTCATTCCCATCAACTAATGTTCTATTACCTCTATCAATCTTGTCCATGCTATCCTTGTTACATAGTGAAACAGGGCCAATACACCAAATCCTAGTATTCCCTCTTGCATTCTTGTATTCTTTAACAAATTCTTCCTCTAACTCTTCAAATGTATTTATAATAAATCCACAGCTTTCCTTTTCAGCTTGAAGAATTTGATTAAGGAGCTCTTCGGTCCAGTTCTTTACAGCCGATTCGGGCAGCTGACTTTCGGTGATCTCAATAGTCTGAGGCAATCCAGGAACAACAAAAAATTCATTTTCTGATGTTATATTCTCTAAAATGTTGGAATTGTAAATATTATGCGTGCATAACATAGTAAAACAGCAAAAGCCGTTAAATGAAATTCTTGGAACCTTCCATTTACTAGCTATGTGAATTGTCCATGGCAAAAACAAATCAGAGATTATGCAGCTTGGCTTAGGGTTTAGTTCTTCAAATAATTCTTCTGCTGGCTTTTGAAGCCCATTAGCTGCCATGAACATTTTTTCGCCCATGTCCAATGAAGGTAACATGTCAAAATTTTCACATCCTTCAGGTAAGCCATAGTTTTGAAATGGAATTTGGAGTTTGAAAATTTGGATTTTGAGGCCTGATTTGATAGCTCTGGTAAGAATTGTTGAATGCCTAGCAGCATTTTGAGGTGTTGTGATTATACTTACCATTGCTCCTTCTTGTGCCAACAGCTTGGCAATATCTACCATTGGAATCATATGGCCTTGGGCTAGTAGAGGAAACAAGACGAAGTGAAGTTGGTTGCTTTGGGAAATCATGGCAATGGATTTGTCAGAAAGAGAGGGAGAGAGAGATATGTGCGTTAAGTTTCTTCATTGTTATGCATGCACATATATAGAAGAAGAATGACCTAGATGTATTTCTGTATCGTTAGACTAATAGATTCGCAGTGAAATATTATATTTGCCTTATAATATAGGAATTTAAGGATTTAAACCCGAGTAGAAATTATAATTTTTAAAATTGTTATATAATATTACAAATTAGTTAAAATTCATAAACAAGAAGTTGAGTAATTATACCAACTAACATTAAAAAATTAGCACCAATCACTTAACTTTCCATATTCACGTATTAAAAATTTCGAGAATGACACTGTTTTTATAATTGTAGCTCTTTAAAATTAGATAAGTTAGATTTTCGTGTAATACTTTTTGTGGTATATTTATTGGCCATTCTCTCCATATATCATCCAAAGAGCGAGTGACTATGATGATGATCAACATAGCAGGATAAGAAAATGTTATAACCGAAAAAACTTGTGTGGTTGAATGAACCAAGATGTAGATGCAGCTATCTAGTTCTTTTATCCTCAGTTGTGGCTCATAATTCTCTAGCAGCATTATAAATAAACGACAACATTAATTATCGATGTGGTTTAGACTCAACATATTTATGCATTTAACTATCCAACAAAAAAAAAAACACAAACATATTTATGCATTTAAAGACAAAATGAGCCTACTGATGTGTTGTGGTTGTGTGCCCACTCAAGTGGGACCCACAATAAATTTGAAAGGAAAATAAAGGAAGTCAAAAATGGAAGGCAACGGAGTTGTACACGGCATCCGCCACTCGGCGCGCCCCCTGTATTCTGTCAGCCCGAGGATCTCCCTCTTCCGAGGTCCCCACGTGAAGTCCCCCCGACCCGGGACAGATGATCCGCCACCCAGCAGACGCAGCCTGGTACGCCACTATCAACATCACCACCCCTCACCACCCGACTCGGGCTCCGCACTCCACCCCGTCAGCTACACGATGCCTGACTCCGCCGCCCGGATCATCACGCAGCCCCGGTCCTTACTGGTACATACGCACCACTCGATCGTCGCCCCGCCCGTGTGCGCCACACCGGAAGCGCACGCCCCAGTGCCCCCTTAACGCAGGCCCCGCTAGCCGACTCCCGCCCCCGCAGCGCCCCGCCTCACTCACGCGCGATGCCGCGCAATCCGCGCCAGTCTCTCTCTCTCTCCTGGTCCCGGCAGCCTGCACAGTACGCCCCAGCCCCCCGACCCCAATCAGCCAACCTCGTGGCAGCACGCTCCCCCCAGGTGTCTGTGCACCACGAGATGACGAAAGAGACCCGCTGCCCACCTCCCTCCCCGCCCGTACCTCCTCAGCTCTAATCCGATCACACCACGGCCCCGGATATTAAGCTGCCCCGACGCGACGCATCCATCACGTGGGCGGGTCGTCGCACGCACCACGCGAGAGGTGACGGGCGAGGGGGCGACCGCGACCGACGCAGGATTCGAGACGGAGATGGGCATGGGGCCCGGCTCAGCCCCGCGGCCCCGGCGGGCCGCCTCGCCCCCGCGCAGCCCGACCTGAACCCCCACGCGCCGGCGCCTCTAGCACCACCCGATGAGGTTCGCCGGACCGCAACGCACACCCGCCTCTTTCATAACTTATCGCGGCGCGGTGACGTACTCGGATGGTGCAGCGAAAGAGGTGGGCCTCGACTCAGGCATCGCAGCAGAATATCGGGGTAAGGGTGTGCGATTGCGCTATCGAAGACTCAGTAGTTCTACGCGGTTGTCGGAGTTACTGTTACGTAAGATGTATGGCGCTAATGCGAAGCTGTGGACGGAGTTCGGGTATGTATCTAACCTACTAAGTAAGATGACGCGCAGGTCGCTCAGAACTACAAATGCGATTCTTCCAGTAGGTCGGGCAGTCTGGAAGACGGAGCGTCCTTAAGTAAAGACGTCAGAGAGAAGTAGACGCTCTCGAGTACGACGATAGGCCCGGCACGGGATGCGTATAGGACGACTGGCCCTGCTGTAACAATGAGGCGAGGTCGTCAGGCTCCGCGATGCCGTGCGCCCGACTCGCGATCTCGCCTACACAGGTGGGTGCAACCTGACTCAACTGAATTCCTATACAGGCCGCGACCCCACACATATATATAGTTCGCAGTGATTATTTATTTCCCTGTAATATCAAGGATTATTTTAGGGTTACCCGAGGTAGAAATTATATACGCGTAAATTTATAAAATTGTTATAGTTAATAGCTTAACAAATTAGTTAAAAAAAATTCATAAACAAGGAAGTTGATAAATTTATAAGGATCGCCAAACTAAAACATTAAAAAATTAGCAGCCCGTGAGAATTCCACTTAACTTGTTCCATATTCACAGTATTTATAAAATTTCGGAATGAACACCTTTTTGATAATTGTAAGCTCTTTAAAATTAGATAGAGTTAGATTTTCGTGATGAATACTTTCTTGTGGTATATTTAATTGGCCATTCTCTCTCATATAACTCATCCAATAGAGCGGGAGTGACTATGATGATGATCCACATTTAGCAGGATAAGAAAGTGTTTAATAAGACCGAAAAACTTGTGAGTGGTTGAATGACGATGTAGAGTGCAGCTATCTAGTTCTTTTATCCTCAGTTGTGGCTCTACTAATTCTCTAGCAGCATTATAAATAAACGACAAACATTAATTATCGATGTGGTTTTAGACTCAACATAGTTTAATGCATTTAACTGATCCAACAAAAAAAAAAAACACAAACATATCTTAATGGCATTTAAAGAACAAAATGAGGCCCTACTGATGTGTTTTGTGGTTTTTGTGTTGCCACTTCAAGTGGGTGAACCCACAATAAATTTTGAAAAGAGAAAATTAATAGAGGAAGTCAAAAAATGAGAAGGCAAACGGAAGTTGTACACGGCATTCCTACGTGTAGTCCAAAAAATGGAAGATGCAATGGAGTTGGTACACGGCAGAGAGATATGGTTACATGGCTTTCTAACGGCGTGTAAACCCATATGGCCAGAGGGCAGAGGCCAGACACACAATACACACAGAAGAAAGAAGAGAGAAACCATGTAGCGAATGGAGAGTTTTCTAACTTTTAGGATGGGTTTTTCCTAAAATTAGGGGAGAGAAAAATAAGGTGAGGGAAATTATTAATGACGAGGTGTAGTTTTGGAAATACTTTGAGTGTCACTATTTTGTTCTGTATTATGCTCAATGTACTATTACGTTAAATAGTGGAGTAATGAGAATGATTTCGGATTTTTGTCACCGTGGACGTAGCCCTAAACGTTGAGGGTGAACCACGTAAATATCTGTGTGTCAGCAAATTTTATTAATTCTCGCTGCGTTAATTTTCGTCTTATCGTTTGGAAAGGGCCCAACGAGTGAGGTAATCAGAGCTGATGCACTAGTGCACAACTGGTATCGAGAGCTGATGTCCTAACAAGTGGGTGTATCAGAGGTCGATCAGGTTTCGGCTAGGCCCAGCACACCGGATCCAGTATAGTTGGTAACCGGTCGCGTGGATATATTTTGAAAATAAAATATACCATGGGAAAAATGAAGAGCAAATTTTACGACGAGTCCTGGTGTTGTTCTGCTCGAAAGACCGTTGCCAAAATCGACTTAGGTGGATGAAATAGTAGAGATAGTAACTCGCGGTTGAATGGTGAATAGTTTTACTAATTGGCGTTTGAACTCGTTTGCTGAGCCGTCGACTTGTTCAAGTCCCGCAGCACTATTCATGCATATATACTATTCCATGATACAGTTACTCATTTCATTGGCAATACCAGTTACGTTTCGAGTGATAGCTGTTTACTATTTGCATGATCACTATTCACGTATAACTACTGATTTCACGGTATACCGGTTATGTTGGATGAAGATATTCTGCAACAAGTCAAAGTGAACAAAGCAGACATGAAACAACAAGTTGGCCAGCTGACCTTCGGAAAGACGTTGCAAAATCGACTTAGTGATGAATAGTAGAATAGTAACTCGATGGTGAATAGTTACTATTGGCGTTACTGTTGCTGAGCCCGTCACTGTTAATCCCAGCACTATTCATGCATAGTACTATTCACATGTACAGTTACTATTCATGCATACAGTTACTATTCGAGTATACTGTTACTATTCATGATCATTATTCACGTATACGGTTTATGTTGGTGAAGATATTCTGCACAAGTCAAAGTGAACAAGAGACATAACCCAGTTGCCAGCGACTTAGAGTAGAGTGGGCAAGTGTTTGCAGAGGTGGACGACATCTCAGAAAGTCCACAGTGGCCAGCGACTTAGAGCAGAGTGGGCCAATTTTTGCAAAGGTGTTTGCAGAGGTGGAGCAAAAACAAAACAAGACAGTTGCCAGCGAAGCTCACGAAAAGAGTGGGTCCAGTGTTGTGGTAACGGTGGGAGCGAGTAATCGTCAGAAGAGTCCAGGTGGCCAGCGACTCAGAGGCAGAGTGGGGCAACGGTGTTTTGCAAGAGGTGGCCGATATCTCAAGAAAGTCTACTGGCCAGCGACTCAGAGCCAGAGTGGGGCGTGTTTGCAGAGGTGGACTCGAACATTCAGAGGTGGATGACAGACATAACATGGTGGCCAGCGACTCAGAGTAGAGTGGGCTAGTGTTTGCAAAGGTGGACGATATCTCAGAAAGTCCAGTGGCCAGCGACTCAGAGCAGAGTGGGCCAGTGTTTGCAGAGGTGGACAAGAGATATAACACAGTTGTCAGCGACTCAGAGCAGAGTGGGCAAGTGTTGCAGAGGTGGACGACAGATATAACAAGGTTGCCAGCGACTCAGAGCAGAGTGGGCCAGTGTTTGCTGAGGTGGACGATATCTCAGAAATATACATGGAGTAGTCAGAGGGTTTCGTAGAAAAACAGAGTGGCTAGTGTTCGCTTGAGGTGGATGAATATTCCAAAAAGTCCAGTTGGGCCAACGATCAGGGAGGGGTTAAGGGTGGCTGAAAGGTGGTGTGTGGTGAAATGTATCTCCATGAAAGTTCCACAGTGGGCAGCGACTTAGAACGCCACGAAGTGGGTCTAGTTTGCCAAAAGGTGACCAGCCTACAATCAGTATGCC